CTCTCCCCAGGATCACAGCACTGCTCAGGGTTCTTATCACGAGCCCTTAATCCAAAGCCAGTGCCTGAAATAACAGGAGACCAAAACACCTGGGCAGGCTCCAGGCACAGAGCAGGAGGAGATGCCCAAATCCCAGAAGGCAAAAAAGTCTCCAGGGATCCCTCTTAGCCTGACCCAGGGAAAAGGATTCCGGGACCTTAAACCTCAGGATCAGCACAACCCTGGGAGCAGGAGCAGGACACTCGGTGCTCGGGGTGCCCACAGAGCCGGGGCTGCCCCTGCATCCCTGGCAGTGCCAAGGCCGGGTTGGATGGAGCTGGAGCAGCTGGCACAGGGGGAGGTGTCCCTGCCCTGGCACGGTGGGATGGACGAGCCAGTCTCACCTGGGGTTGGGGTGGCTGAGCACCCTGGGGACACTCGCTGCTGTCGCCGCTGGCTCTGCAGAGGGCAGGGGAAGGGTGGGGTGCTGCCTTTGTGCCCCCAGCTCCGGCATCTCCGCCGCTGCCGGGGAAGCCACGAGGAGCCCTGGAACAAAAACAGCCCCGGGGCCATCCCGTGATGGCAGCCAGAGCTCCTGCTGGAGGCAGCAGTCACAGATAACATCTCCGATCCTTCTTGCGGCTTCCTCGATGGCAAAGCGCTACCGAGCGCTCACCCTGCCTGGCCACGGCCTTCTGAGCATCCTGCTGGGGAAAAACAGGGAATTCTGGAGGGCTGGTGTGGGGCTGGGCTGGCCAGGGCTCCCAGCACGGGGAAGCTCCCGGGGGATGCTGAGGGGGAGGAAGGGTGAGGGTGCTGAGGGTGCTCCGTGCCCTGGAGGAGCTGTTTTATTCCCCTGGAGGTGTTTTATTCCCCTGGAGGAGCTGTTTTATTCCCCTGGAGGAGCTGTTTTATTCCCCTGGAGGAGCTGTTTTATTCCCCTGGAGGTGTTTTATTCCCCTGGAGGAGCTGTTTTATTCCCCTGGGAGGGGCAGGGTGGCAGCTCCAGCCTCTCCCCCCACTCTGTCCCTCTCAGTCACTGTCTCCCCACTGTGTCCTCAGACCAGGTGTCTCCTCAGCACGGGGGCAAACTTTAAACCATCACCTGGCAGAAAGATGCTGGAAGTGTTTCCTTTTTTAAAGGTATTGAGACACAGAAAAGCTTCAGGCCTTGAACAAAACCTCCACTTCTCACCTTTTAACCAGGTATTGAGGCATAGAAACCTTCGGGGTTTGAATAAAACCTCAGCTTCTCACCCCCTAAATCACTTTAAAACCGGACCTCTGGCATTTGAGTCTCAGCTCCTGATTGCTCCAACCTGGGCTCCCAACTCACAGGGAATTTTGGGAAGCTGCAGCAATCCCTGAACAGGGGTAAGTAAATCTGTGAGGGCTTTGAAGAGATTCACATGGTTTAAGGTCATTTTGCTGTGGATTTCCCCTCCCGGCTCCTGAGCAAGGCCCCGGGGCTGCCCAGCACCTGCAGGGATCAGAGGGATCAGCCTGGCCCGGAACATTCCCGGGATGGGGCAGCCACAGCTCCTCTGGGGCAGCTCAGGCCGGGGTGAGGAACCCCCACTATTGTAAGAGTCTACTTTGAGCATCTTACAAATACAGCAATTTTTCAGCTGTAACTTAGTGGGGGATTTGCACCTCTTCCACACCCTGAATTTGGCAAATTTTGCTTTAAAAAAGAATGAAAATGTTTCCAGTTTCTCTTTTCCCCCTAAAGACATCAGGGACATTGATTATACTTCTGCTCATAATAATGTGTGGAATTAGATAATTGTAATTAAGCTCATTGTGGGCTTTTGTGCTTTTAATCACTGAACTAATGAGGGAGTGAGGGGAACCCGGGAGTGAGGGGAGATCCAGGGAGTGATGGGGGACATGGAATCCATGGGAATGAGGGGCACAGAATCCATGGGAATGAGGGGCACAGCAGCCCTGGGAATGAGGGGCACAGAATCCATGGGAATGAGGGGCACAGCAGCCCTGGAGCCCCAGCGGGTTTGGGAGCTGGAATGTCTCTGCAGGGTGGGGACACGAGCCCCTTGTTCTCTCCAGCAAACCCATCCAGGAGGATTCTCCATCCTGGGACAAAAATGGTCACTTTTGCCAAGTTTTCTCCTTCCACTGGAATATAAAGACTTTTTCTTCAGGCCAGCTTTACTAATTTTAACTTTTGTTTGAATGGCCCTGCTGGGCTGTGGCCAGGCAAGAGGAGGGGATGGAAAGCTGTTTCCTTTGCTGGAGTGCTTTTTCCAAAGTGGATGTGATTGCCAGCCTGGCCAGGAGGCTTTGCTTCCTGCCCCAGGGAGCTTGGAAGTGACAAGGAGCACGGACAGGAGAGTCACAGACCCAAAAACCCCCCAAAATCCTGATGTGAAATCCTGGATTCTATGAGCATTTCCTGGCAGGAGCAGCAACCAGGGAAAGCTTTCCTGGGAAAAGGGCCTTTATCACCTGCTGCCACTCACCTGTGGGTTTGGGGTGACTGAACCCTTGAGAGGGACCTGTTGGGCCAATTTCCACCAAAAATATTCTCTGATTGTTCATTTTTTCTCTTCCCAAACCATCCAAAGCTCCTGGTCCACACTCATCCTTCCAGTATCAGTAACAAACCTGAAAGTGAAGGACAGGCAGAAGAGTTTGTATGAAATGCCTTGAAACCTTTGCATCTTTTTGTTGAAAATTAGTAAAAAAAAATAAAATCCTTTTTTTTTTTCAGAAAAAAGTGCAGCTCTGAGGGTGAGACCCACCCAGGCAAAGCCCTGTGCCCATTTTCCTGTCCCTGTGGGTCTCAGATGTTCAGAGCCCAGTGGCAGCTCCTGATTTCCAGCAGCGTGGCAGAGGCTGCAGCATCACCCAGGACAGGAATCATCCAGATTTCCCAGGAAAATCGTCTCAGCTGCTGAGCTATGAGCAGAGTGTAGCCCCAGGTGACTCCTGGAGGTCACCACAGGTGCTTGAAGTCCATCAGCCCTGACAAATGATTAATTTCTGGGACTCGGCTCCATGAAAACTTTGGGATTCAGGGATACTTCCAAGTGTTAGGGGAGACAGGCGCTGTGGTGCAGGGACATTTGACATTTCAGCTGTGGTGCCCTGCAGCTCCTCATGCCAAGTCCTGCAGGGAATGGGGCGTTCAGGGGCCCCTCAGGTGCCCCCAGAGCCCCAGGGCCAGGCTGTGCCCCCACCTGGATCTGCTGCTGGCACAGCCCTGCCGGGTCCCTCCCTGGCTGGGGGAGATTTGCCAGGCAGGAGAAACGCCGAGTCCTGCTGGGCTGCCCGGGAGCAGGGATGGCCTGTCCCACGTCCCCGGCTGCTCAGGGATCAGGGAAGCTCTGCAAGCACAGTCAGTGCTCACCCCAAGCAGGGCTGAGCCCCCCACGGCTCACTCCAGCACAAACCCCAAACCCAAGGCAGGAGAGGTGCTGCTCCTCCAAACCCAGGGTGCTCTGGACTATCGGAGCGTTTTATCTGGGGGAAAAAGCTCCAATTCCCATAGCAACCACATTTTCCTGAACATGACACACACAAACAGCAGACACAGACTGAAAAACAGTGGTAACCAAGAAACAGAAAGAGACATTTTATCTTTTCCTCCCCGAAAACACTCACTCACTTTCAGCCTTTCCAGAGCAGCTGCAGAGGGGGCCCAGCAGGACAGAGGACAGAGATGTAGCAGGCACGGAGCTGCTGCTCAGGTTTCCTCTCCTTTCCGAGGGCTGTGGAACATCTGCCTGGCAGAGCCTGGCACTGCCCGTGACAGGGACCAGCCTGCAGCACCTGGGCAGGGGAACATTCCAGCCTCAGCCACAGCAGGAATGGGAGAGCCCAGGAGAGCAGGAGCACAAACACCTCTCACCTGCAGGCTCCGGGGCTTGGTGCTGCCTGAGCAGCAGCTGAAGAACCAGACCCGATTCCTCCTCTCCCCTTGCAGCTCTCACAGCAGCTCCAGCTCCAGGAGTGTCCCAGCAGTTCCTGCTCCCACACAGAACAGCAGCAGCCCAGAAGCTGCTTCAGAGAAGTCCATGACCATTTATTCCAACTGCTGTGGGGCTTCCCAGCTGCACCCCCTGAGGATACAAACATCCAAGGCTCTCCCAATTTTCCCCTCCCAACAGCAGCACACCCACACCCCGAGTCCCACTCAGGCACATGGGTCAAAGCCCTGGCATGTAAGAAAATCAACTTTAGTTTCCACGGATTTGGCATCCAACAGGCAGTAAAAAAAAAAAAAAAAAGCTTTATATTTTATTTTTTGTAAAAATCTTTGAACACATGCAGACTAAAACCAGTGTAAGAAAGTCTCCACCATGTTTAAACAAATAACTATACTTAAATATAAGCGTCTGCAATTGACTGGTATAAAAATAATGTACGTTTTGCTTTTTTACAGAAATCCTTTCTCCAGTTCTCAGCTCAATAAACAATACACAACTCTAATACATACAGTGAACCTGATCGTTTGCCACCTCTGGGATACTGCTAAGGTATTATGTGCAAAAGTTGGTAACAGTTTCTTTCCCACGAGAAAAAAAGGTCTACACCTTTCAGGAAACCAGACGGGGTTGAAGCTGTTGCAGCCCTGGTGGTACCTGGCGGTCTGAGGGGCTCAGTGCTGGTGCCAGGGCTGGCCCAGCCCCACGGTCCGAGGGGCTCAGTGGCAGTGCCAGGGCTGGCCCAGCCCCGTGGTCCCGGGGCTCAGTGCTGGCCCAGCCCGCAGTCCTGGGGCTCGGTGCCGGTGCCGGTGCTGGCCCAGCCCCACAGTCCCGGGGCTCGGTGCCGGCCCAGCCCGCAGTCCCGGGGCTCGGTGCTGGCCCAGCCCACGGTCCCGGGGCTCGGTGCTGGCCCAGCTCACAGTCCCGGGGCTTGGTGCCGGCCCAGCCCGCAGTCCCGGGGCTCGGTGCTGGCCCAGCTCACAGTCCCGGGGCTCGGTGCTGGCCCAGCCCACGGTCCCGGGGCTCAGTGCCGGCCCAGCCCGCAGTCCCGGGGCTCGGTGCTGGCCCAGCCCGCGGTCCCGGGGCTCGGTGCCGGCCCAGCCCGCGGTCCCGGGGCTCAGCGGCGGTGCCGGCCATGGCCCGAGCGGCCGCTGCCGTGGTGCTTGCCACCCTTGTGGGAGCGCTCGAAGGAGCGCGAGCGCTCGCGCCGCTCCCGGTGGTGGCCGCGCTCGTGCCGGTGCTTCTTGGCCGCCTCCGAGTGCTCCCGGGACTTGCTCTGCGAGCGGGAGCGGGACTTTTTCCGCTTGTGGCCGTGCCTGCTGCTGCCCTTGAGCTCCTCGCGGCCGTGCTTGGCCTTGGCGTGGGGCGAGCCGTGGTTGTGGTGCCGCCGGGGGCTGCCGCTGTGGCTGCGCGAGCGGCTGCGCGAGCGGGAGCTGTAGGTGCCCGACAGGCTCCGCCGGTTGTTGTAGCTGCGAGAGACAACAACAAGGTTAGAGCGTGTCCCCGCACCGGGAAAAGCAAACAGACATCAGCGCTCTGGCTCCCAAGGTACTGCAAGGAATCAGGCTCTGTCCCTCAGGGGTACGGGAGGGAGGGCAGGGAATGTCTCAGAACCTGCCCCATGGAAGGCTGGGGTCAGTGATGTGGGATTTAAGGTCCTTCCAACCCCCACCACTCCTGTGAGTATTTTAGTTGAGCTCACTGGAAAATAAACAGCTCAAACTAAAACCAGAATGCAGCATCTTTTATCCACCTTATCAAGAGTATTCTGTCAATGCACCACATCAAAGAGTGGGTATTGCCTTTTTCCTTCAGTGACTCCACCAAGATCCAAGTTGGCAGTCTCCAACTTAGATGCGAGCCTGAAGATTCTTAGGAAAGCCCTATCTAAAGCCAGCAGCTCTCCCTGCATCCCCCTCCTCCTGTACCACGAGAGGAGCAGAGCCCTGAAGAACCAGGCACTGCACAGGGAGCACTGACACAAGGAGGCTGCACACCTGGGGCACTTCCCTCTCCTTCCAAGGGCACTGTGATCCCAGAGACTGCTCTCACTTGTCCAGAACAGACTCCTCCAGTACAGTGCAGTTAGGACAGGCTAATTTTACAGCCTGAACTCTCCAGAGCAGCCCCACGCCCAGCCCCCAGAGCCTCCCCAGCAGCCCAGCCCCACTCACTGCCTGCGGGGGCTGTGGGAGCGCGAGCGGGACTTTGTCCGGGAGCGGGAGCGGCTGGCGCTTCGGCTGCTGCGGCTCCTCTTGCTCTCCTTCCTCAGCCTGCAGGGCACAAACCAATGCTCAGGCACTGACACACCACAGGAGCTCGGAGGAGCTCCCTGCGCTGCTGCTGGAAGCGTTTGTGCTGAAGTGTTCTCTTAGCAGGAGAGTTTTACCTACCCGTTGTAAGGGCTCTTGGAGGTTTGCTGCCTCTCTTCTGGCTCTTTTTTAATGGTTTTGGTATTCACAGACACTGGAGATTTCTCCTCCGCTTTTACTTCTCTTGGGGAAGCTAAGAATTAAATTTCAATTCAAAATCAGTTCTTTATTCATACTTTGTTATAGACACACTATACACCACTCAGGCACCTTCACCAGGACTGCACTAAGTGTAGCTATGAACTCTACATCTATTATTTAATCCCATCTCTCCACTTATATTCACTCCCAGAATGGGATATTTGTGGGGAAACCCACTGCCCATGAAGGAGGAACAGAATTGGGACCTTCAGAGCACACAGCCATGCTCACCTGGGGCCAAAAGGTACAAAATAGAAGCTGCCCTTGTGCCCCACAATACAGAACGTGTTGCCTTGGCATTATTTCCAATTCCTTTCTATAAAGGATTAAGCCTGCCCAGCAAACTTAGGTTTCCTCTTTACAATAATGGCACGAAGATAAATGAGTAACAAAATTATCCAGTTAATATGTCAGTCTGTCTCTACAGAAAGTTGGTGCAGCCCAGAGATGGATTCACCTTTCATGGAAGGGCTATTAAGCCCAGCAGAGCTCCTGTTTTCAAACTCTTCCAACCTGGCTCCCTCCCTGCAGAAAACACTTCCCTTGTTCTGTCAGAAATTCACACTGCCCAGCCCAAAGACCTCTGAACACTCAGGACTCCTCAGGAGAAACCATGAGAGTTCAGACAGACTGGCCAGTTCAAAATGCATGTTCCATTTAATTCCCTCTGACGCCAAGGCAGTGCTGGGCCTCTCCCTCCTCCATGTCCTGCCCACCAGCTGTCTGCCCTCACTGCACCAAACAGTTGCCAAGCACATAAAAAAAACAAGCAGGAAAGGAATTTTCAGATACCTGCTGCAAAATGGGCCATGAAGGCTATTGCAGCACCCCCAAATTAAATCCAAAAAGCCTCTCTTCACATCACAGAACACACAGCAACTCCTGCTACATTATCTTATTCTCTTATGGGTACATATTATTAATGTATCACCTCTTATCTGGGGCAATGTGGAATAAAGCATCTCCTTTCTAATGTGGATTCAAGGCTTTGAGACTGGTTTTAAAATCTACATTAAAAAAAAATAAAAAGGTTTCTCTGTTCAGAAAACAGACTTACATGGTTTGGATGCAGGAGAAAAGCCACCCAGTGTTGAGAGTGCTGGAGTTCCATCTGGATTTAAACCTTTTGCTTTCAGTTTTGCCTCCTGTAGTGCCATTTTCCTCTTTTCTACTTCTTTATCCAGAAAGTCATAATTGGGCTGTGGAGGTAACAACCAGGTAAGAAGCTGACCTAATGTAATTCAAATTTAATCTCATTTCTGAAAAATATTGAGTTGGCTTTTAATGATCTGTCCAGTTATGTAACTTCCAGAATTTATTCTCGCCTTAGAGGAGCCCTTCCCTTAGCACATCTGTATAAGGCATTCCCAAACTTTTCTGACAACCATAATTCAGCTCAAGCTGCACTGAGCATCAAGCAGCAAACCCCAACATGTCAAACTCACCTTCTTTCTGGTATAAAGCTTCAGAGTTGTTAAGCAGATCTCCTGAATCTCCTCTTCCGTGGTGCCAAAGAGCAGGAACCAGTGGGGACGGGTAGGCAACGGGATCTGAAAATCAAACAAGGAGAAGCTCACTGGAGATTTCAGGTCAGGTTTTGTTGAAGTTTTTCCATGAATTTCCTTGGAACCAGAGCAGCAGCACTGCTAGGCAGAGCTCAGAGCAGGCAGGGCTCACCTGCAGGGCTCTAGCAGCGAGGTAAATGCACGCACACGCGATGGTCTCCGGCTGGAAGCGAACAAACACGTTCGTCCGGAGGCTGTCGTTCATGTAATTCCTGAAAAAACAAAGCAGCACAGGTTGGAACTCCAGTTTGCTTTTCTTTTAGAGGACAACAATACTGGAGACTCAATTGACTTTATTATTTTTTCTGTTGTTACATTAAACGTGTGATTTCTTTCAGATTGTGCTGGATGTTTACACGTGTCACTCTGTGACAGTCTGCAGCACTGCCACTGTTTTAAACCCCAAGGCAGTAATGTGTAGCAGTAAATCCAAACAGTGTGGAACAGCCACTTCCTAGCTGAAGTTACCCTGGGAAGTGTCCACTGAGTTACAATTTAACAAGTACTTTGCATTTGTCCAGCTGATTTGTCTTAAAACACCAATGGGTTTGTATTTAAAGATCAATGTAGAACTCCAGAGCCATCAGGAGAGCAAGGTACATTTTCAACCTACCATTATCCAGAGACTATGTGCATCCTGCAGAGTTCATAAAACTCTGAGTGCATTTAAATTCTGTGCACTTTGAGTCCCTTTAACTTCATCCAGGGAGATGCACCCCATTTGCTCACTGCGTGTTGGGAAAGATCTGTGAGTTAGAACTGGGCCCTGACGTCCTGAGCTGCTGCTGTTGCACAGGGCTGGCACTGCCAGTAACAGATGCCCAGAGATGGGGTGAGCACAGAGCTCCATGGATTTCTAAACTCCCAGCATGGGAGAGACAACAGCAGTCAGTCAGTGAGGACTCTACACCCCCATGCCCAGCCTGGCTGCTAAGTGAACATGCTGCATGCACTGTCACCCTCTGTTTAACTCCAGTTTAAATGCTAAATCAAAGAAACACTGGCAGAATGGTCCCCCACGTGTCCTTTAACATACAGCAGGTAGGCAACAAAGACATCGAGAAACAGTTGTAACAGTTACTTCTAGAACCAAATATACAAATCCTGGCGCCAGGACAGAACTAGGAGGTGCTGCCCGATGGCTTTGGGTGACGGCAGTGAACTCGCTGAGGCTTGCACTGGCTTGGCTGGAGAGAAGGGCAGCCAAAGCAGCCATCCCCAGGTCATGGGCTGAGGTGCAGAGGGCAGAGCTCTATGACTTACCAGCAGGGACTACCCTTCAATCAAAGAGTAGAAAAAAGAACAAAGTTAAATTGAGTTCTCCATCACTACGCTGGAATCAAGCCATGAAAATAGTAAGCAGAAACAAGCACCACGAGATTGTCCAAATGTGTTTAGGTGGTGACTTACATCTCATTGCTTTGCATAGGGATCAGCAGGCTTGTTATTTCTGCTACTATTTTCCTGGCTAGGAAAAGAATGGAAAATAGCAACTTACCAGGCTGTCTGTACCAGGGTTTGATTACGTTCACATTCTAGGACTTGTAAATACATAACAATGATCTGAGGAATAAGGAGGGGAGGGAAAGAAGAAAGAGACTCAGTTTCAACACAAAGCAGGAGTAAGGAAGTACACATATACATATGTAAAATGAAATCAAACAGGATGCCTGAACAATGGGGGCTCCTTCTCTCCAAGCACACACTCTTAAGCTCTCATGTCAGCCCACCATTCTTTACTTCACTACTTTTTTATTTTCAAACCAGACATCTCTACCCTTTCCCAGGGAAGTGACTTTTTTCACAGTCAATATGGCTGTTTGCCCAAGTACTGTGGCAAAAGCTTTAATAACCACAAAGGAACAAAGAGAAGAATTCAGGTCATTCTGACACCTGTGTTTCTTGTTCCACAGCTCCCAGTGATGCACCAAGGTAGAGTAAGAATTACAATTACATTATTATTGAGAACTCACCTTATGAGGATGCTTGACATGAACACAAAATCCCAACTCCTTCAGTACCCTTCTTTCTGCTTTGATTACTTGATTTTTGGTGTTTATGTAGTTCTGATCAAGTATCAGGGGGCTTGGAGTCCTATAGTTTGCAAGAAATAAAATCAAAACTGTTTTGCATATCCAAAAATAACGGCAACTCTGTTTTCCCTTCCAACCAACTAATGGCAACAGAAACCGGTTTTCAACTCCTGCAAGCAAGTTTAAGCATTAATCTTGTGCTGTCCAAGTTTAGATAAACTAGTTTAGTCGATGCTTTGGCTAGCTACAGATTAGATGGCTGAGATTAAAAAAAAAATAACCTTCTGCTCCTGTGTGTGCAAACTGCACTGCTCCAGCTGCTGGAAGGAGTTGGCTTGATGGGGGCACTCCCAAGAACTTTTCCTCTCCGTGGCAGAGCTGGCAGAAGGAGTCCTTTGCCAGGCAGGATTTCAAAGCAGAGGTAAGCCAGACCAGGGCTCTCACTGGCATTAAAGCAGCACCTCGTGCTCTAGAAATTGCAGTTTCCTATGCACTGAAGAGCAGCTGATTGACCCTTCAGAGAAGCCAGCCCTGCCCTGTGACGTGAGAAAAGCTGAGTGAAGCACAGAATTAACCTGGGACACGGGTCTGCCTGGACTCTGGGCCTGCTCCCCTCTCCAGGGGTACCAGGGATGATCCTGCTGCTGCCAGCATTTGCAAAACAACAGCTCACTTCAGAGAGAGATTTCAAACTCCAGCACCGTCAATCCTAATTCCTCCCAAATCCAACCCCTGCACTGTCCAGAGCATGTTTAATCACAAAAACCTTCTGTACACTTGATGCACAAGTGTCACACTCCATTGCATATTTGCTTTGTCCATGCTTAGACTTGACCTTTCAACATTCCACATGGGATATTTTAATCCACTTCCTCCCGAAGACAGACCAGCTTTTTCCCTGTAATATGCCTCACACATTCCATGAGCTTTCCAAAGCAGAGTAATGTTTTTTTCAGCTCGTTATGCTCCAATAAACCACGGTTTGTATACACGATACACCCCAAGCACTGGTGACAAATTTATTTTACATTACCTTCAAAAGAAAAAGAAGTAGTGCAAAGTGGATTCAAAATACAGCTTTTGTTGTATCAGACAAAACATTTCACTACCAACTGGCAAATTCCATGAGTGGATCTCGCTTCTCTTCCCTGATAGGTCACAGAACAGAAAAAATACTCAAAAACCAAGGTTCCCACCCCAAGGAAGAAAGGGTCAATTTAATGGCAAAGCTGGAAAAATCCAGTTAATGCCATGATCTCTGCAGTCACCTGGACAGGCATCGATGGCCATGGGCAAAGGACACCAAAGCCTTCTCTAATGAAAGCACCTTGTACCCCCATGCACCTGAAGCATGAGCTGTCCCTGCTCTTCCCAAGGGGCTCAGATGCAGCTCCCAGCTCTGGAATGAACAACTGCAGCTTCCCAGTGCCAGGCTGGACCCGCAATTCAAATATTGTTTCTTTACATAAAATGCCAGGTTTGCCACGTTCCAGCAGAGTAACGTCTCTAGTTAAGTGTTACTCTCACTCATCAGGGCCAGTTTATGAACTTTTTCCTTTCAGCTCCTCTAAACAAACCCAAAACCGGGAGATTTTTTTCTTTTGTTTATGGTTGTGGCTGTTTTTCTTTTCTCCCCATAAATTAACTGAAAATGAAAAGCTCTTCAAGCCTCTTTAGGATAACTACTTCAGTGAGGAGCTGATTGTGTCCAACACTTCAGCACTACAGAGACAGGCTGAACAGAGCTCTGGAGTGGGACAGTGAACAACCACGCTGAGCTCTTCCCATCAGTGAAGCTGATTCACTTCCAACTCATTCCCATCAATTTTGCTGGTGTTGAAAACATTGCCTTCAATACTGCTCTCCACTATTTCATCTCCAGATCACTGGCATTAACAGGATCTGCAGAGCAGCACCCAGAGGAGTTCAGGTGTCCAGGCTGTTTGTCAGCAGAAGGCTTCAGCACAGGTGGGAAATCTCTGGTTACACACTTAGGACAGCCGTGATTTCCAGCCTATTAACACAATCTCCAGTGGCACTGCTCAGGATCACCCACCACAGCACCTTCCACATGTCCCTGCATTCCCTGAGAGCTCTGGCAGGAAGGTAAGGTGGCTCCAAGTGCAGCAGGACAGATGGGATCCTTTACTGTATTTTAAGTTTTCATTGTCCTTGCACAGGGCCATGGGATCAGCACCAACAGCTCGCCTGGCCCAGGTTCCACAGCACAGGGACAGCAAACCCAACATGCCAAGTGTGCTCTGCTTCTCTCTGCTGTCCCACACTGCTTTGGTCACAAGTCCTACAGCCCAAGGAAGCCATCGCTTTATCCAGACAGGACTTCCAGACAAATACAGCCTTTTATCCACTCGTGGAAAAATAAAAATCTGCAGGAGACTGAAGTGTGTTACTGCACCTTATTACTGGCACAGGTCAGGCTCTCCACTGCATTGATTCACCAATTTAATACTTTTGCCATAAACTCTGCAATGCTGGTAAACAATTATTCTTAAGTTAGAAACTTCAGAGATTCCCCTCTGAAAAACTTCTTTGTTTTCTACTACGAATAAAGAGGAACTTTACCAGTGCATTTGCTGCACTTATTCTCAGTCCAAGAATTATCTTAGGGCCAAGTAACAAACCAGAGAAAGAGAATTTAGAAGCTCATATATGAAATATAAGCTTCAAACCCTGTATAGCCAAGGAGTGTTACAAGTTCCTACTTGGAATCTGCTCGTACAGATCGGCACTAGAGCTCCAGGCAAAACTTCATCTTTAAGAACAGAGCACACAGTGGGCCCTCTGGGAAGTCAATCCAACACTTAAGATGTAAAACTTGATTGGGATTTAGATTGTGTAACAACCCAGAAGATTAACACACACTGTGATGTGTTTGTAACAATAAATAAATTACAAATACGTTTTTTAAAAATCACTCTGACAAATGAGACCTAAGTTTCCCACACAGCTGCAGTTTCATTTGGTGCAGTATTAGACTCTGATGTCTTTGGCATGACTAATACTTGGAGGAATAGTGCCCGGCATGGAGTTTTGTTCCTAATGAGCAAAGCACTCGTGACAAGTACAGCAGAGCACCAGCACCCCGTTTCAAGGAGCAGAGATCTGTTACGCTGGTCAGTACAAGAACACCAGTTCTCTGCTTGTCTCCAGGATCACAACCACAAGCAGCACAGGTTTGCAGGCAGTCTGGAGGCACTAAGGCCGTGTGTCATTAACGCAGCCCCGCCGCAGGGCCCCTGAGTGAGGAACAGCTGACTGAGCACCTCAAAGCACCACGTGAGATTACAGCACCACACGAGTCACATTTCCAGTCTCAGGACCTTCTGCAGCTTTCAGGCACAGTTAAAAGAAATAAAATCAACTTCAAACTACATTCTACAAGTTAAACAACAGTTGCACTTTGCTCAGAACAGAGGTTTTGGCACACAGTTATTTAAAAAGCAGTTTTTCCATAGTACGAGCTTTTCTCCATGCACACAAACATTTTTACATGCAGTTCTACATCACATATGCTCGTCAAAGATCCCAAAGAAAATATGCTTGTCCAAAACACTTATTTAACTTTTTCTTACTTCTCAGCATTAGAAATACCACCTCGGTCGACTACATGTCTCATAAAAAGACAATTCCAATGCAATTCCCAGTTCTGCAAACAGGTACATAGAAGGGACTGCTTACATCATAATTGATAAAAATGTACAAATTCAAGACTTCCGTACCCTTGTTTTACTGTGAATTCAAGCTGCAATTATACAGAGCCAGAAAGTGGAACTAAGAACCCAAAACTGGTTAAGAAAGAAAGCAAAGCCTACCCAAACTACCCCAAATTCGTGTGCAGGTTAAGAGCTTCAGTTAACAGAAATGCCAGACTAAACTAAAAAAGAAAGTACAGCAGCCTGTTTCAGTTCTGGGTTGTGTGTGAGAGACTAACTACAGCCTAAGTGTTAGCATCAGTAAAAAATAATAAAAAAAAAAAGGTCAAGCTAGTATTCTAAAAACCTGGACAGCAAAGAAAAAAGCTTATAACAAGATACAGGAGTTCTTCCAAATGGTTCACCAGCGGCCAACCTGTTAGTCCCCCGATTCCAGTGACCTATGCTCAGAGCACTGGCTTCTCCTTGGGGATTTTCGATACTTCACTCACTGTTGCCATGACGACAGCTTCATCTTTATGTACCACTCCACATCACCCAGGCTTTGGTAAATGTAGCTGGTCGCTGTATAGTCGGTTGCAAGGGAAAAAAGAGTTGAAGTTAATAACGTGTACAGGTGATGGAATTGTCAGCTTGTAAAAAGTACAGAAAAACGTTTACATCCTGCTTGCTAAAAAAAAAAGGGGGGAGGGGGAGTGTGCAAGTCTGAATGTCAGACTGCAGCATTTTTAAGGTTAATTTCATGCAGATTCACTCAGAATCGCAGAGCAACAATACCCATTTCTCCCGAAAATAATGGGTAGCAGTGCACGATTTCTCTGGACATGATGCACTTTAGGCACCACGTAACATGCACAAGTTGGGATTTGGAACAGGCTAGCTGGAAAGATTTAAATTCACAGGTTAAGTTCAGTTTCTCTGATCCTTCACACAGCACAAAGAAACAACTAATTTGTATTCTTGTTGCAAAGAAAAGCAAGGCATATGATTAATTAACCTTCACTGCCTGGACGGAGGCCAGAACGTTACTAATCACTGAGCCTGCTGCAGCAATTCCAACAACCAGACTCCCTTAATAACTGGGGAAGACAATCCCACTGAATTCACACCTGGCATAACTTCACTCAGCTCCCTCAAGGCCATCGGGGAGAACAGCTTTAAAGGCCACACAGCACAAAGCTCAACTCCAACGTGTAACACCAACTCTTCCTGCTTGGATCTAGAACTAACTAGGCCAACACCATCAGGAGGCAGTAAAAGCCAAAGCTCTGCCTTCAACAGAAGCATGACCAGGATAAAGACACCAACAAACACCTGCCTTCCCTAAGGGATTTTTACTGTTTCTCAGAAAAGCTTGCACAACACGAGTTTAAAATTCCAGACGTCACCTGGTGACACAGGGCAGACAAATGAAGTGTGTGCTTAACACTGCAGCTGAAAACAAAATCATTTTGTAACTACAGTGTACCTGAAACTTTAAGCAATAAAGCACCAGAAGCAAAGCTGAAGTCTCCAGTCCCAGACTGTGACACTGCTGCCCGACAGAATTAAGGAGATTTTGTGTTCAACAGCAACCTAGAGAACTCTTTTCCTTCAACCACACCTTCTTCCTTTCAATGCACCAGCTATTTGCTTTACACACAAAGAGCAGCATTGGGCACCCAGAACTGGGACAGATCTACCCCACGTGCACACGGCCAGGGGAGCCCCCACTGCACCTCACAAGCACACCAGAACAACGCCGCTCTCACTTTCTGCACCTAAAAATGCCTTCAGCCTCCCAGACTCAATTACACTTTCCTTACCACTACAGCTGCAAACACCAAACCAGGCTTTTTTCAGGTACTTTCTAAAATGGCTTTTTCTGGAAGGCAATATTGTCACCACTGAAAGTTCAGCTTCTTCTTAACAGGTATTAACATCACAACCACACTTGGACAGCCACAGACTAACGAGAAAAAAGCCCATCAGAACTGCTAAATATGGTTAAAAAACCGCAAAATACACAGCAACTCGCTGACTACGCACCCCTAAGACTATTTTACAATAACTACGAAATGCCAGAAAATCAACAGACCTGAAACTACAACCATGGTCCTAAAATTAGAACCAATACTTGCCAATCATAACTCGTAGCTAAACCAACAACGAAAACGGGTCTACCAAGCGAACAAAAGCAGAGGCAGCCGAGATTGCACTGTACTGCCTACACAGCAGCCAACGGGCACTCCCTTCTCAATTTTAGGTCGTTGAACTTAGCCTGGAAAAATACTGTGAATTGAGAACTGCAGCGTACATTAGTGGTAACAGGTGCTTATGCTCATAACGAAGCTGATCTTACCTTTTTGCTCTTAACTGCCGCAAGTGATGGAACACGTTGATCACGTCCCTTATCCGACGAGGCGCCTCTTCGATTTTGGACGCGAGATTGATGCAGGCCATAGCAACAATCTGAAAAGAAGCCCCGTTTCCGTTGAGCAATTTTCAACCCAGATAAAGTGAGAATTACGTAACTAAGAAGCAAACCCGCCAGGCTGGAAGCGAGCGGCCTGCGTGGCGCGTGGCCGCCCTCTCCCGGTGCCCCCCCGGGCCGCGCTCACCTCGAAGCTGTGCTTGACGAAGGACTTGGAGTAGAAGAACCGATGGAACAGCACCTGCCCCGTCGCCATGGCCACCTGTGAGGGCAGAGCAGGAGGGAGAAGGAGCCGCGTCAGTGGCCTGGCCCAGCGCCGCCATTTTGTGTGAGGCACCGCCGCCCCCCCGCTCCGCCTCACGCCCTTCCCGCCGCCACAATGGCGGCGCCCGCCCTTCCCTTCCCTTCCTGCCCCCTGCGAGCCGCGGCAAAGCCCACCTGCGGCAGCCGCAGCAGGATGCCTGCCGCCTGGATGAGCTCGCAGCCCAGGATGCGCAGGTCGGTCTCGCACTGCAGGTCCAGCCCGTCCTGCATGGAGGGGGTGGGCGAGAGCCGCTCCTCGGGGATCAGCGAGTGGTCGATGGTCAGCGACACCTCGGAGTAGAGCCGGTCGCCGATGAGGATGCCCGGAGCGGCGGCGGCGGGAGGAGGAGGCGGCGGGGCGGGCGCGGCGGGCGCGGCGGGGCCCGGGTGCGCGGCGGCCATGGCGGCGGAGCGGGGCGCTGGGGCCGGCTCCGCTCCCGGCAGCGGCCGCGCGCCGACTGCGCGGCCCCGCGCGCGGCGCACGCGCCACGGCCGAGCGCGCGCCGCGCGCGGGGGGCGGCGGGAAAAAAGAGTCCGCGGGACACGCCCCGGGACCGGGAACGGGAATGCAGGAACGGGAACGGGGCAGGGCTCGGGAGCAGTGCACAATAACCAGGGGGCGGGAACGGTGCTGGATAAAGCTGGAAATACACAGAATCACCGCAGGAGTTGGGGCTGGGAAGGACCTTCCAGGGTCGCTCCAGTCCAGCCCCTGCCATGGGCGGAGACGTGGCACAGAATAGATAGAAAAATACAGAAATACCGCATAGCTGCTTAACCGAGGCTCGGGACCTGGATCCAAGCCTGTCTTAGAGGTTGTGGCGCTCGGGATATGTCACATTGGGAAAAAGATCCTTAAATTTCAACTAAGGTGATTGTGGGGTAGTATTGGCTACTACAAAGGTGGGCTGCGCCTTCCAGACTGGAAACGTCCAGCGAGAAGTTACCTCCAGCTTCATTTATTAAAGAAAAACAAAATAAAAAATGAATCAGCTCCAGCGTTTTAGCTCATAAATCCATCATAAAGGAGGAAACATTCCCACGTGGCGAGGCGCGCGGAAGAGCACAGCGGCCGCGCGTTCCGCTGCCCCCGGACCCCGCGCTGGCGGTGGCAGCGGTGTCGCAGAGGTGTCACAGCGGTGTCATAGAGGTGTCCCAGCGCTCCCGGCAGGGCCCGCATGTCGCGACATCCCCGCCGCTGTCGCGACCACGCGGACACGGCCGCCAGCGCGGCCCCGGCGGTTGCGTCACTTCTGGGAACGGCCGCCGCACCTCCCGCGCCGCGCGCCCCGGATCCCTCCGCGGCCCTAACTGCTCGCGCGCGCCAACCGCCACAGCCCGCCCCCCCGCGGCAGACGCGGCCTCTGATTGGCTGGCTGGGTTTGAGTGACAGCGGCGCCTGAGGGGCCGTGCCCGCCATGTTGTGTGGGGAGCGGGTCCCGCCTTGCCCCCGCCCGCGGGGAGCCCTCGGGAGCACCCACAGCATCCCAGAGGCTGGAAAAAACCTCCAGCATCGAGTCCACGAATGGCCGATCCCCACCTTGGCACCAGCCCAGAACACTGAGTGCCACGTCCTGCTCTTCCCGAGACACCTCCAGGGATGGGCACTCCAGACCTCCCTGGGCAGTTCCAATCCCTGACCACGCTCTCCATGGAGAAATTCCTGCTGGTTCCACCCTGAGCCTGCCCTGGCCCAGCCTGAGCCCATTTCCCCTTGTCCTGTCCCTGTTCCCTGGGGCACAGCCCGACCCCCCGGCTGTCCCCTCCTGGCAGGAGCTGTGCAGAGCCACAAGGTCCCCCCGATCCCCCTTTTCTCCAGGCTGAGCCCCTTCCCAGTTCCCTCAGCCCTTCCTGGGGCTCCAAACCCTTCCCAGCTCCCTCAGCTCCTCCTGGAGTTCCAAACCCTTCCCAGCTCCCTCAGGATCCTCCAAACCCTTCCCAGCTCCCTCAGGATTCTCCAAACCCTTCCCAGCTCCCTCAGGATTCTCCAAACCCTTCCCAGCTCCCTCAGGATTCTCCAAACCCTTCCCAGCTCCCTCAGCCCCTCCTGGGGCTCCAAACCCTTCCCAGGTCCTTTCCCCTCCTGGAGCTCCATTCCCTTCCCAGCTCCCCCAGGAGCCACAGGATCAGCCTGAGGAGGACACTGAGGTTCTCAAGGTCTGCTCATCCTCCTCACAGGGTGTGGAGCAGAGCCTTGTTTTGAGTCCTCCGTTTTACAGAGTACCTCCCGTTTTACAAACCTTTTTTTAGAAAGGTCGCTGCAGTACGTTTGGTTTTTACCCTTCTTTTCCTGTTATATTTTGGGGTTTCAGAGTCGGTAACTATCACCAAAATAGTGGTTTTTTAATGGAAATAAATAATTTAATTGGGAGCTGTTTTATGTGCAGGTTCATGGCTCAGCAGGGATCCTGCCTATTTGGAAAGGACATTATTTATTATTCACTTATTTGGAAGTTCACCCTATTTTCCTGGCCTTTTGACAACCTTCCCTCTTAAAGCCCTGTGCTGTACAATCCCTGAGATTTTTAAAAACAATTTCACACGGAATTAAAAAAAATCTCACCACCCACCTGGAACAGGCTTTGGAGCTGTGATAACAGAGCCACAAAAAAAGTCCTATGAACCCAAATACTGGTGCTAAACACCTCTGCAATGGCAAAAGCAATTCACAGCCCACAGAATGTGCTGGAGATGAAAGAAATAGTCATAAAAGGAGAGCTGGGAAAAGCTGCCTCTGACCTTCGGATTGTTCTGAGGTGAAATCCTGGCTTAGGTGGTATTTGCAGAAGGCAAACAGCACTTTCCATTCCCCTGCCAGCTACCAAAGGGGCTGGAAAGGAACAAAAAAGACAAAAAAAGGAGTCAAAAAAGCATCAGGTATCAGCGCAGTGGAATTTGCCCACTTTTTTTTTTTTTCATGTGCACACCCATAATTTATTACTTTTAATGCATTCCAGTTTTCCAGGATACACTTTGATGTTTCAAAAAGCTGGAGAGATTTATACTTGCTGTGAAAAATGCCAATCACTTGTTTTTAAAAAAAAAATTTAAGAGTTTATTAGTAATAAAATACTTATAAAAATAGTAATAAAATTAGAGTAATAAAAATTTGGACAGTTAGGATTGGGACACTACGAGACAATAAAAAGCAAAGAATTACAGATGTCCGGATGTTTTTGGGCACTGAGCTGCCAAAAACAGACCTTGTGAGCAAAAGAATAACCCTTAAAAGCAACAGGCTGTTGCATATTCATATATCTCATACATGGTGAATAAATTCCTTGCAAATTAAGAATTTTTCTGGGTTTTGTCAACTTCCCCTTAATCCTGGTGGTTCCATAATGACGGAGAGATGGTGGAAGAATGTTTTTTCCAATACAGAGGCTGTAACTCCTTAGATTTCCTGTTGCTGTTATCTCTGTGCAAAGTTTGTTGATTATCTTATCCCTGTCTTGAGCTAGTAAAAAAATACCTTACATCGCACAGTTTCTATTTTAACATTATGTTGTAACCTAAAACTATATTTAACACACCACTTAAAAAGGATTAACACAGTATTACAGAATAACCCTCCATAATACATATAGTATTCCATTTAATACGTGCGAAGAGCCAATAGTATAATCTGCATTTTTCACACTTGTTCAGTCCTTGGTGTTTTTATGTGAGTATTTTTGAACTCCATAAAGGCCCGCAGTGCCTCGTCCCCTCGGCAGCAGGAGCAGTGCTTTGTTGCCAGGACACTGCTGGAAAATAACATCAATCAATAATTGCTGCTTGAGTCACGATGAGGCATGAAGAAGCCCTTGGCCTGGAGCTCTGCAGGCCATGCAAGCTCCTTCTCAAATCAGTTGTACACAAATGTAAATTGATTTTGTTCTTCCAGGTGTCTGATTGCAGCGAGAGACACCAAAGCTGAGCGATAAAAAAAGGGGAAAAAGGAAACACCTCATGGAAAGTGAGTTTTGGATATCCCAAACTCTCTCTTCTGGTGGGCAGTGCCTAAATCCCCTCAGGATTTACAGGCCTGGCAACAAATGTTTCCCAGAACAAAATACAAAACGTTTCTTAGCAAATTACTACAAATTACAGGGTGCAATTACCTTCACAGGAAAGAAAGGATTATTTTGGGAAAATAATAATCTGTGATGACAGAAAAGTCCGATTTCCTTGAAGAGAGATGGCTGTAAGAAAACATCACAGGAATTTACACAGCAAAATATTTTGACATGAGCTGATATCTAAAAGTTTCTGTTGTCAAGTCAAATAGGTGAGACTAAGACAATGCAGAATATGCTTAGATCAACTTATTGATGAATTTATTAACTAAATTCTAAATCTCCAAAGCAAAACATCAGTTGAAAGTTGTTTCTTTTTTTTTTATCAAGTAATTTAGGAGGTTGACTTTCATTCTTCATGCTGAATGTGATAAATTAACAGAGAATCTAGAATTCCCTTCCCTCTCAGTCATAAAAATCTGCATTATCAGCTGGAACAGGACTTCTGATGGCAAGTACAGCCCCGGCATATGTCAAGTACTGGGTTTGCATTGATAGAAAAGTTTGGTGCCAAAAAAAAAAAAAAAACCAACTTGGCAAAGGGAGTTATCCCAGCTGGATAAACAGTGTTTTGCTCTGCCAAATTATCACTTGAAGAGAAACTCGTTAGATACCTTTATGAAAGATTTCTAGAGCCAATTCTGGGCTCTGAATTAGCTCAGAGGAACAAGGAGGATTATTTGAAATCGTTCCCAGAGGGCGAGTTCTTTAAGCTCTTACTCACTGGTTTTGAAAGAGAAAAGGGGAACTGGGCAGTGGGGTCACACCCCGAGTTTGCAGCGTGAATAAGCGGCTGCGAAACCAGAGCAGTCGGGATACACCTGGCTGGAAATGTTTCTCTGTTCCATTTAACTGAGCCTTTACCTTCCAGCCCCCAGTCCCTCCCTGCCTCCGTTCCAGCAGAATTCCTCTCACTCATTTCTCATTTACTGCACTGGAGGCACTGGCTTAAAGGAACACCAAACGATTTAAACATTCACGTATGAAAGCAGGTTTGTTTCAATTATTCTGTCACCTAGAACGTAAAATTCACTGTAGGACTGGAAAATTTCTGCTCTTAAAACCTCATACTCAAACCACAGCATTTGTTGCATTTTGATTTCTCAGTAAATCTGCGTTTTTGTGAGTGTTATACAGATTTTTCAGAAGATTTAGTGTCTAAATGAAGCCCATTTATCTCAATTAATGAGTTTATGGACTCGAGGCTTCAGGTTTCCCATCACAACACACACAAATTGCTTGAACTTCCATCAAAGGTATTGGGAAAACAAGTAAGGAATACTCACCATGTATTAAAATTAGCTTTTCCTACACCTGATGATCACCAGCTCACCTGTATGCAAC